CTCTGCAGTTTGCCCTACCGCAAAGACCTCTGTACTTCAGTATTCCGAAAGCTAAAAGAGTTGCCAGAGACCTGTGCGCTTCTTTAGCAGCTCCTCAACTTTGGGCTTAGCTTGTCGTCTAAAATTACTACCCCGTACTTGGTGTATTCTTAAATTCTTAGCTGCAGCACGTTGGGCATCAGGAGCTTCCACGTTTTGTCCGTTTTATCGACTTGTACCTCTGAGTAGGATAATGCCGCCCATTGATGTATAACTCTTAAAGCGTTATCCATCACATTACTAAGCGCTTCCAAGAACTTGCTCGCCACTAATATAGCTACGCCATCTGTATAAGCAACTAGGTTAGGTGCTTTATTTAAAGAAAACTGCATCATTGAATACATTGCTGAATGTGCCACTTACTTTTTGAAAAAAAAATAAAGCAAATTCCTTAGAATCTACAGCTATTTGTATGTGTTATTTGAGGTGTTTGGAATGCAATTTCAGTGGATCTATGCTTCGTAGAGGCATGCTGCGCTCTTCATTTGTCAACCTACAAAGCTTCGGATGTCTTCAATGGTTGGACCAATTATTGGTCGCCAGAAACCTAGCCTCTCTCTTTCTCTCTCTCTCTCTCTATAAGGAATAAACATGTATAAGAAATGTACTCTGCTGCTGAAGAGCGGTTCGAATTCGTATAAGGAGGAATGTACTTACTCTATCTCCTAAAATTTGAAAATCGATGCTCCCTCTCCCGGTATGGTGAACTTCAAGAGAGCTGCAATGCTTTGAAGCAAAATACAACTAAACTCTGGAGGATCTGCATGTTAGCGCCCGGTCAATGCTCATGGCACATGAAATCAGATTTAGTTCCGTTGGGTATGCTTTTTTATATCAGCAAAATTATTTTTCCATTTTTACGAAAAAAATCTCGTCTGGGGCAGAAAAATGGTTGTTTAAATATTAATTTTGTATTTCAACTCGACAACGACCAAAATCATGCTGATCTTCATAATTAAATGCGAATATGTTTAACAAAAATCCCTCAAAAAGTGACTCATTTCGAAGCGCTTTAAAATTCTTTAAGTCTAAAGATCTGTATGAAAAATTTTTGTCAAAAATTTATGGAAATATTCCAAGGGATTTTGATGTGTTTCTTAAACTAATGGTTACCGTAAAAAATATTATTTTGAATATTTTTTTTGTGTTTAAACAAGATATTTAGAGAATTCTGTATTCTGATGGCAACAGAATGAAAAGTTTAAAATTAATTTGCATTTTTTCAATTTAAATTAAATTTTTTTTATTTAAATACTTAATTCAGTTATTTCAACAAATTCTACTCCGCATGTATGAAGAAATATGTATTGAATAGCAGCCAATTATAGTACGCATTATTATCGCTATACTTTATTGGTTCTTGGCACTTTTCCACAAATGAAATCATCGATTTTTGCATGTGGTGGTGAGTGGAAAGCCGCTAAATACTACAAGCGTATTCCAAAATCATTGCCGAAATCCAATACTCATAACATATCAAATGAAACTTAAAACGTAGCACAATAAAATAATTTCAGATAATTTGAAGTAAAAAAGAAGAACACCCGCAAACATCAGGGGTGGCGAGAAAAATAAATAAAAGACATAAGGACAACAAGAAAATAAATAATGACCAAATCAACCCACTTAAGCACATATCTACATATGAATATCAAAGAAAAATAAAAAACTTAAGGGAGTTTCAGTATGACGCAGAATTTTCTGTTAACCAAATTGTCAAAATATTTGTGGTTATCCCAGCAAGAGGACACAAAGAACTGGAGTACGAAATCCATGTGAATCATGGATTGAAGTACTCTTGAATTAATCACAATCTATGTAAAATATTTGGTATACTTAGCTCTAACGCTACACCATAGATTATTTTCAAATTATAATTTGTTTGAGGTTATGTTAAGTAAGGTTAAAGTTCACTTGATTCGTAACAGCCCCAGCCACTGGTTAAACCAATATGTTGAGTTTGCAGTATTGAACAATCAACCTATCTTCACGTACTTCCTTTCTTTCCAGTAAGAAAAGCTCTTAGCAACTACTTTCTACTATACCAAGTTGGTCTCTGATCACATTGCACCCATTTAGACTTTTCCAACTAAAGTTAGCAACTGTGATTAATAACCTTCTTAGAGTGGGCTATCAATTTGAATGTAGCATGTCCAAACTAACTAATGTTGGTGAGAGCGCAAGAGAAGTGCGTTTTCTTGGAAACTCGCTCAACATCCCATACCTAATAGATTCAAAGAGAACACTTTAGTTATGACGCTAAGTCATCTGCGACAAGTCTCTACTGGTTTTGATTTTATCATCACAGATAATGCTGCTAGTAGACTTAGAAAACCGACGGCTTCGAAATGAGTAGATCTCGCATCTGTTATATAGTCTTCTAATCAAAGTGGGAGGTGGATGCATTTTGTAAGGAAGCAATCGAAGAATTGGTGGTCAGAAAGAGAGTTCACATTTATTGGATACCAGGGCATATAAACATCAAAGGCAGCACTTTCGGAAGAGGACCTACAACTGTGGACATATAAATGGAACATTTTTTAAGTCAACTTTTTATGCTTTTGCGCTGTTAAAAATTGCATCGACCAACAAGTTTTTGGCATTTTTCTAAATTTTACTTTTCACATTCAGTAATAACAAATGCTCGAGTTAAAATTGACTGTTAAAACAAGAGGAAATATGGATATGTGGAAAAGGTGGCGAAAGGAAACAAAAATTATTACTTACCAAATATATGATGCAAAGCTTTCCTGGTGTCTCACTCACTCACTCACTTGTCGTGGTTAATTGCACGATCTTCAGCTATGGGTAACACGCACGGACGCTCAAAGCCGAGGCGAGTCAAGCTAAGCGTTAATGATAGCTGTATTATTCAGCCATTTTTTATTATTACTGGCAATTCACCGCGATTTTTCTTAAATCTTTTGTATAAGTAGCGGTTTTGAGTTGATTTTAATTACTTCGAAATTTTATGCGATTTTCAACGATGGTTTTCATATTCACTCGGCTGTACCATATTCTGATCACACGATCGAGCGTGCACTCTGCAACAGACTTTAAATGCTTTGCAGCAATAGGAACTGCTTAAGAACGGCATTTTTTTACGGTATAAGCTTTCCTTGCAGATCCAAAAGGTTTGAAATAAATTTTCGAAGAAACACCGCAGGAAAGGTTACTACATATTTTCTCCAAACTCCATCAAGAGCCATTGGGTTCAGTGAACACATTCAAGGTAAAAATTTATTGTCATCTCTCCCTTCTCCATAGCATCTTCACCCTTTTTCGCTCTAGCTCAGACAGTTCAATTATGCGTACATAAAAGTCTACTTTAATTTTTTACTTACATGAAATGCCAACTTAAAAATAATTGAGAACTTCGCTTTATCTGCTACATAGACTATTTGAGATCCGTGAAAACACGAACAATCCTAAAAAACAAAAATTGATCCCGAGCTCGACACGAGGTATATATTTGGCGCTTACAACCGCTGAGTTGATTTTCGGAAAAGTCATGTTTTTTAGCTCACCCCGAATACGATATGATAACACCCTCGATTTTGTGTTTATTGAGAATTAAGGGTTAAACAGCTGAATGGGTATATATTTATCTAAGCCGCCTCCAAACGGCTGATGGATATTTATAAGGACCTTTCTATTTGGAGCCAGAAATATAAATACAGCCAGAGGTTGTAATTAACTAGCGAAGCGCGAAGGCATTTAGAAAGATGTTTCCGAAGAATTTTACCGGTTGGTGCGGTAAGGGTTCGTACCCGCGTAACCACCACTACTCGGCTACTGCGATAGCAATACAGAGTAGTAATTTGAAACTATTTCGATGAACAAATGCTTTCATAATTTTTATAGGTCTACATATATATATTTTTACTCAGAAATATGCTTACATAGCTGCATACATACATACCTATGAAAATGCATATGGGCCAACCCACACACTTAATATCCAGAGGTCGATTACGCGGCTTATACGAGTACAAGTATTAAAACCAAAACAATGAAATCACGTGTACGAAGAAAATTTTGTTTTTTTCTCTTTCTTTTTTTTCTTCTTCTGCTTTTTGTTTGTTTTGTTCGCTTTATACAACAAACTTGATTAAATGCACTATTTCCAGTAGTGAGAAATCGAGAGCCATTGGAATAATGTGGAGCAAAGAGGCACACAGAGAGAGAGAGAGAGAGTTTGTATTAAATGTAGAATTTATTGAAAGGAAAAGAGTGGAAATACACTGATTAGAATAATGCAAAGAAAATAAAGAAGACAACAACAAAACAAAATAAAAGTAAAAGTATAAAAAAATGGAAATCAATTTAGGGCAGTGATAATAAAAAGAATATGAGAAAATGATATAAAATATTTATTTAATTACCGTTAGTATGCAGATACATTTGCATGTTTAATATGATAATTCTTAATATAAACATATGCAAAGATGTAAATTATTCACATAGCAACTGTAATTAGAAAGTCACAAGTTCAAGAGGTTTGTCAAACAATAATTAAATAACTGAGAAAGAGCGCAAAGAAGACACCATCAATTAGACAAACACAAACAGTGTCAGAGAGCTTAAGAGCATGTTTGTATGGAATTTATTTATTGGGGGTGTCAACATGCTTTTACACATACAAATTATATTTTAAAATAAAAAAGGGTTATGAAAAGTTAAAACAAGCGAGCAAAAATATGAAAATGCGAAAAACACAAAAGGAAAATCATGCGAACTAACTACGTGTGCATGTAGTAACTATTGTATGTATGGGTGCCGCTGCAGAGATGTCACTATGAATGAAAATGAATTGGAAGATGTGGAAACAAGCGTCAGGCGACGCACTGACGAATGCGTCTCTGACGACGACGTCGACGACGATGGTAACGACCAACACTGTTGGCATATCACCCCCACGAAGGCAATGTGGCTAACAACGGTTTTCGTTTCCACATTAAATGTTCAGTGTTTGAAAGACAACGCGTTCGACAACACGAATTTAGCGGAGCGAAAAATCAAAGAAATTTACTGAGTTAAAATTTCAAAATATCCTAACTCTTTTTTTCCGACAAATTCTCTATCTCTCTAACTACTTATCCCACTATCTGGTTACCAAACAAGTAGTTCACTATAGAGCCAATGTGATTATCCGTTTTAAGTACAGCTTTTGTGGTTTTCAATTCCCTTAAACTGTGTTAATTCAAATGTAACGGATACGACTAACAGTATGATGCAATAGAATAGCAACAAAATACAAAAAAGTGTAAATTATTGCAAATAAATTAACTTAAACAAGTGATTCACCGCCTTTGAGTAATATTGAGATTGAAAAAATTGTGAGTTTTCAAAATAACAAATACAAATTTCATAACGAAAGTTTCTGCATTTGGCAACGAAATACATGCGGTGTGAAAACAAACACGAGTACAAAACAGATAGCGCAAATATACACACAAACGCATATTCATTTAAGAATATATTAAAAGAAAATTTTGTTAGCAAAGTTTTGGCCCCCGGCAAATTTTTGAAAACAAAACTAAACAAAACCAATTTTACCATAAATTTATTTCGTTAATCTGTTTAAGTTTTAATTGATTTCTTTACAATTATGAACGACCGTGTCAAGGATCTGATTGGTGTAAGCGGATAGAAAATTGCCAGATCCTATCTTATATAATAACAAAAATTTAAGCATTTCAAAGTGAAAACGATAAAACAAATTAAAAACAAGAAAAATTAACAAATAAATAAAATAAAAAACATAAAATAAAATAAAATGAACGAAATTAAAAAAAAAAACTAAACTAAACAAAAATAAAATAAATAAAAAAACTAAAATGAAAAAAAAATAGAATAAATTAAACAAAACAGAAGAAATATAAATTAAAGTTAAATAAAATAAAAAAAAACTAAAATAAAATAAGCTTATATAAATTGAAATAAAATAATCTAAAATAAGATTTTATAAAATAAAAAAAATAAAAAAATATAAAATAAAAAATAAAAAAGTATAATAAAATTCAATAAAATAAATTAACTCAAAAATAAACTAAGTCAAATAGAATAAAATGAAGTAAAATAAAATAATTAAAAGAAAAATATAATTAAAAGAATTAATAAATAAATAAATGAAATTAAATTAAACAAAACAAAGTTAAATAAAATAAAATTAATAAATTAAAATAAAATAAAACAAAAAAAACTAGAGAAAAATAAAATAAAAGAAAACAAAATAAATTACAATAAAATCAAATAGCGTATAATAAAAATAAAATAATATAAAATAAAATAAAATAAAATAAAATAAAATAAAATAAAATAAAATAAAATAAAATAAAATAAAATAAAATAAAATAACGTAGAATAAAATAAAATAAAATAAAATAAAATAAAATAAAATAAAATAAATTAACAAATAAACTTAAATAAAATGGAATGAAATCTAAATATGTAAAATAAAATATTAAGATAAATTAGATAAAACAAATCTAACTTAATTAAAACAAGTTAGGTTAAATAAAAAAATTTTATGAAGATAAAAAAAATTAAATTAAATAAACAAAACAAAATAAAATATACTTGTAAACAAACCATAAATGAAATAAAATGAAATAAATTAAATGAAAAAAGTATATAAACAAAAAATAAAATTAAATAAAATAAAATAAAATAAATTAATTAAGATGAATAAAAGTAAATTAAAAAAAAATTATAAAAAAGTTTAATAATAAACTAAATAAAATATTACAAAACCAAGTGTAATAATAAAAATAAAATAAATTAAATTAAAAAAAGTTGAACAAAAAATTAAAATGAAATAAAATGAAATCAAAGGTGAAACAAAGTTAAATTAAATTAAAAATAGATGAAATAAAATATTAATAAACAATAAAATAAAATAAATAAAAAAAATAAGAATAAAATAAAACAAAATTAAAAAACATAGTAAAATAAATTAAATTAATTAAAATATAATAAAATAAAATAATTTATAATAAAATTAGATAAATGGAAAAATTATAAATAATAAAAATAAAATAAGTAATACAATACAAATAAACGAAAGATCTGAAATAATAAAAAATTTTAAAATGGCTGCGTACGTTTTTTACCTATTTGTCATATATACCATATCACGGTTATTTCATCGATATTTGTTGTTTTTAAAGTTTGTAATGACAGCAGTATATACATACGCTTTTATTGAACCCCTTTTCTTCGCTACTGCAAAACTTTATAATTGAAAGATTTTAAAAACAAAGCAAAGCGAAAACAAGAAGAAGAAAATAACACAACAAATAACAATAAAAAATAACATAAAACAAAATTAGTCTATGCCACGGAAATTGGAGCACGTCCTTCGTCACGTAATAACGTCATCCGCCTGCTTGACTTCATGATACGCTAACACAACGGTGTATTGCACCGCATTGAATGTGGCCAGCGCATAGTGAGTGCACATGCAGCATCAGAAAATACCATGCGTAGCTGCAGTCAGTTTTCGCCTCTTTTTCTTTTACATACCCAGCTCGGTATTGCTCAGTCTATATCTACTCTATTAAAAGCCACCTCCTTAAGTTTATCGTTGGGTGACCTTCCTTTCATGCCATTCAATGAACTCTCGCCAACACGTAGACGAGCTGCGCTATTGCATAGCAATGTTGCATTGATTGCATGCTTATAAAGTCATGCATCGGTTTATACCGATATATATATATATGTGTGTGTGTGCGTTTTTGTTTCTTTTTTGGTGTTAGTGTATTGTTTTAGCTCAATATTTTGTAATTTGTACTTGTGCTATCAATACAAGTGTTACTCCACAACAAACATTGAATGGATACGCTTAGGGATATATGTAATATACAATAATTAAAAACCAATTTAAATATTATATTAATCGCATTTATATTATTTTGTAGAAATTTTGTCTATGAGAGATTCTCACCTCTAGCTTAGGTTATGTTAGGTTAAGGCAATAAATGCTAACGTCAATACCAAATATTTTAAGTATGTGATTCGAAAATTTTCGATCTTGCAAACGTGCAACCGGTTTAAATATTTCTTCCAGATAATTTTGACAATATCAGTATGAGTTTCCCTGACCTTCAATTAAAGTCTACCTGCCAGCAAGCCGACTTTGTTTTGAAAAAGCAGCTCCTACATATTGGCGCCTTGTTCGAAAACAGCGGAACGGCGAGACCTATACACTCAAGTTAAATGTGACCAAGAAACGGAAACCTTCTGCTGCCCATCTACTCCTTTAATTACACGGAAAGAATTGGCGAAAGCTGTGTCCATCGGTAACAGATAAGACATTCATGTCTATACTGATGGGTAGGCTTCTTCTGTGACCACGCCAATAACCAAGAGAGCTTCAAACTCAATGACTGTAATAACTCATATAGCACAGATTGCGGACACTACTGAAGCTGCCAAATGGGAAACCGTCTTATTGGGAAAATCAATCACGTTTCTGGTAGACAGTCGATGCCCACTACGGCAATTAAGAGCGTCAGCAAAAAGTCCAAAGGCGTCAGAATACGACTATCGCGAGAAAACACAGTCAATATGTCTTGTCTCCCAGTTCACATAGATGTAGAAGACAATGAAAAGGTGTATGAGCTGGCTCACATTGATGTCGCCTTAGACACTTCAGCGCCTTCAAGTTTCGTTTACAACAGTGAATCTTGGAGTCTTGGGATTCTTCCAACTTAGGATGTGCCGCTAAATTATTATGAGAAAGCGTGGCTAGTAGACAGACCAAATTGTTAATTGCATTAAGCAAAAGAGAACAGTATTTTTTCTTGGGAGAACAATGGAACTGCTCAGTGGTTTAGGTACGAACCCTTGCTGTCAAATACTCAAACTACTTCTTTCAAGCAACACCAGCCATCAGTTAATCTTAACCTTTGGCATTTTTGAGTAGGAAAATTGGCAGCTAATATATACAGTGTGCTTCCTCTTTTCTATCGGTATGTAAACGCTGAATAACTTTCACACTTACCCACCGAGCGATTGCCTCAGATATGTTTTTATGTATCGAAAACGTCAATTCAGTACAACTTTTGCCATGGATCGCTTCACACCAAAACAACGCGCTGAATTAGTAACGCTTTACTTCGTTCAATGGTGTTAACTCAACGTGCATATCGGAAAAAATATCGCGGCAAAAAGACACCGTCTGACAGCTCACCTGATTTAACCCACCCGGACTTCTTTTTGCGGATGTTTTTTATCAAAGTTATACAATTTTTACATACCGACATAAAAGATGGAGCACCCTGTACATATGTATATATTATGTATTACTTACTTGCACCTCCTTACATTTATAAAAGCATAAAAACAGCTACTAATAACAATGAAATTTAATTAATTTCAAAAGAATAAACGAAAATTACACCCCAAGAAACAATTACAAGTGAAGCAAAGTAATTTCCTGGAATTTCGAATAATAAGCTCCAATAATGCTAGAAATTTCAAGGCAAAAGCCGCACCAACCAATCAATTGTTGCCACACTTCACACTTAAACGATATAATTGGCGCTCTGTAACCGCTGAAGCGATTTTTAGCCGAGCTTCTCCTCCGATTTGTGGTTTTGCGTCTTGATGTTTTCCCAACAAATGGAGGGAACAACTACAGTTTATATATAATGCTACCACTCGGCTACCGGGGCGTTAACAAAATAGTGGCAGTGGTCTTCCTGAAGCACCTTGTCGGGCGGAAATTGGTGGAAAAATCGAGCTATTGGAATAAGTTAGTGATGTGTAGCCCAAAATGTTGCAGAAATCCCAACATTATCCACTCCTCATAGTTCTTTGGAATTGGTCATTCCACAAACGTCATTACACCGCATTTCGCATAAATACTTGAGCCTTATGGCTTATAAAGGTCAGTTCAAGAAGATCAGCACAAGAATTCAAGCCGAGCGATCATCCACAATGCCGTGTCTTTTTTGACGTCAATGAAGCCAAATATTTATTGTTGAAAAGACCCTCCATCCTCGACGAGTAACTGTGTTTGGTGCAGTTTATGATCGGACGGGCTTATTGGACCTTTCATTTTCGAGAATTAGGCTGGAGCAAAAGTTGTGGTGAACTTGTTTTTATAGCAGGAATTGAATGGTATTCATCTGGACAAAATTTGATTTCGGCAACACAACTCGGAGTGTCACACAAGCAACGAAACCATCGTTCTTTTGAAGATCGCAATTGGCCACCGCGATGTGATTGTGATTTAAAACCACGTCACTACTTGCTTTGCGGCCACGTAAAAATAAGGTCTACGCCAACAGTCCTACATCGATTTAAGACCTCAAAGATGGAATTCGTGAAGCTATTAAGTGCCACTTTGTGATTTCATAAAAAGAATACGGTCCTGTAAGCTGACCTGTGAGGACCATTTGGCTGATAGGGTTTTCCATTATTAATGGCATATCTTTCTCTTCACATTGAAATGAACATCCCATCATTTATTTGAATAAATGCCATTTTCTTTCAATATCAAAATAACACCCCTTTTGGAAAACCCTATAAATACAAGTCTATGTTTTTTCATATCCCAATCATTGTGCAGCGCGCAATTTTGACCTTTACGCCAATAACAGCACTTTCCAGTGAATGCAGAGGCGGAGGCTAATGTTAGTGAATGATAGAAGCAGAATGTAATGCGAAAAATATACTCACATACATACGTACATACGTACATATATACAAAACAATGATTTATTTTCAATTAATTGCGTGCAGTGTGAATTGAGTTCCGCTCATTACTCGTTGCTCCAACTATTACAAGGCTATAAAAACTCAAAAGTCATTAAACGCGTTCTACATACATACAATTAAATTCACAGACATTTCTTTGCTCGCCTGGCTTTATTTAGTTTGTGTTTGTATTTGCGTTTGTGTGTATTATTTACTAAACAAAATTTCAAGAAATTCTAATAAATGCAAAATCTATTATGTGTGACTAAATTGTATACAATTCCCAAGCCACAAACACATATGTACGTGTGTACATACATATGTTTATTTCATCAAAATAAATAAAGTTTGTTTTGTTAGTGAAAAATTCACAGAGACCAACAATAAAATAATTTGAGCGCCATTGCTTAATGACCGTCCAGTTCAAGCAAAAGAAGATACATTGAAATGAAAACAAATAATTAGTGAAGAAAATAAAAATAAAATAAAAACAGCAAAACAAAGAAAAAGAGCGCGCAAAAAAGAGCAACAACGAATTGCTTGCGAAAAGGCAGCAAAGAAAATTTCTTACTGCTAAAAGTATTGATCTCAACAATAAATCTGCTATATATATATGTAATAGTGGAAAAGAAAAAGTGCTTTCAACAACAAACAACGGGCTTATTTGCAGTAGAAGGTGTGTGTGTATGCGTGTGTGTTTTGTAGCAAACAAACAACCAAAGCAGCGCAAAACGCTCAATGTGAGTCATAGCTTTTTGCTCTTCATTCTACCTGCACCTCTATCCAATTGAATTCCAGCACATCCACACCCCTGGCTACCCAACGCCTCCACTTTGCGATTATTCAGTTTCTCTCGAACAACTTTGCCGGCTACATAGTACGCCGTACACCACTATTCGTCATCTAAACTAACTAATTATCCACGCAGCCGACCGACCACGTCGATTTGCAAATACACAATCGAAATGGATCATAGAGCTATTGCCAGTCAAGTGCGAGGTGAGTCGTTTGTCTGTGGTTAAATGCATGTACGTATGTACGCGAGTGTATGTGTGTTTTTATTAGACATATATATTGCAGTTAGCTTGCATGGATGTGGATATATACACACGTACAAGTATTGTGCTCATACTTAGGGGTGCTACAGCGCGTATGAGTGACATAGCGAATCTCAAATTAGAGAATAATAAATATTTGCTAGCGGTTATTGTTTTTTTTTGTGTGCCAACAGCTGTGTTTTGGATGCATACAATTATTGACATGTTTTTGTGTTTGGTTTCCAAGTTCATGTTTTCATTATTTTTCAAGCATATATACATATGTATATAAATAATGTATGCTATATTTGATGATTTATATAAGTTATACGAAAATCTATGTATATACTTATTGGGATGTTATTGCGAGAAAATAATGTATAATTCATTAAATTACTTATGCTTAATGTTTTAAGTATTTTAATCTATGGTTTTAGTATAAAAAGTGTTAAAAACCTTACTGAAAATAATATCATATAAATTTTAAGATTTCTCTATTTCATTATGAAATCTTAAGATTATTTTAATGCTTTATAAATAAAATCTAAAATTTTAATACATACATATATGTATGTATGTACATGTTATGATTAAAATTCGTTATATAGTCTCTTTCCAAAATTATTGGTTTATCATAGGTTTGTCCAAATCCTTTCGGCTCACCGCTAAATAAATTCCAATTTCGAACTTTGACAGACTCGATCAAATGCGAATTCTCTTGTTTCCTGTTTAAACATGTTATGCAATTTTGCGTTGTTTTGTTAAATTTGATATTCGATATTAGTACGTTGAACGTTCCGATGAGTAAGTTTGAAAATGAATGAGCCGAATAGTGCTAAGAGTGAAAATGCGTATAAAGAAGCATTAAGACCAGGTTCATCCGAAAAGTGTTATGTTTTTTTTTCAAACAAATTTTATTTATTTAAAAACAATATTTATAAATCAAAGTCTATATAGATAAGTAGGCGTATTGAAATATTAATTGAATTTTTTTTTAATGCTGATCCTTAAAATTGTAGCTGAAACACGTCTCTTTCGTTGGTGAGTGATACGATAACTGTAAAACGAATCATCGGAAAGCAAAAAACCAAAATGGTTTCTAATTCTATATCACATTAACTATGGTTGGAACTTCAATGAAAAAGTTTCAGAAAAAAAAAAAAAACAAAAAAAGATGGCAGACTATTTTTAATATTATTTGTTTATAAATTTTTTAAGAAACAATGAATATTTTGAGCTGTAGTTCCGGCCATAGAGAGAAATTTTAGGAGTAAAAGTTCAATAGGTTGTGTTGTGTTGTCAAGTTCAATAGGTTCTAAGCGAGAGAGAAAAGGCGATTATAGTATTCTCCACTCTCCCGTCTTCTATACTTACTTTTTGGTCTTGCGGATTTTCGGGACTAATTCTAAATTATTTCTAACAGAAATTTCTAGCAATTTACAGGAAAAAAATTTCAACTTTTTTGTGTCAGCCTAAAAATAAGTTATTGCCTAAACAATTATTATATAAAGAATCGCGCACGGGTACCAGTCAACCTTATTGATATTCAAAAGTCTCCTCACCGTGATATTAAATATATTTAAAATTATCATGTGGTAGATAGAGGAGTTCAAAATAATGTGGCCTAACTGTCCATGGTGCACGGCGAATCGTGTCACTCTCTTAGTCAGAGAAGTATTGATCAAGATGTACAAAAAAATATTGTTTACCTGGTTGGGCAATAATAAAACTAACCGTAAAAGTGAAGTCCTTCGATTCTCTCTACCTGGTCTTGGTTACTAGCGTGGTCACAGAAGAACCCTGCTCTGGCTTATAACAATCCAACATTTGAGCCCGTCAATATAGATATGGATATCTTCACTGCTACTGATGGATTCACCTTGCGCCAGATGGTTTTCGTTTCTTAGTCATATCTTAAACCGAGTTCAGGTATAATTTTCTGAATGCCTCCACGTCCTTTGGCTTGCTATTACTGCTTCACCCATCACTTGCTAGTTAATTGGCTTTATGTCAAATATGACAATCAGGACTTTTGTTGTGGTAGTGTTTATCGCGCCTGCTATTTCAAGCAGAAAAGTACATTGCATCTGTTCCAAAGGCTTAATGCCTTATGCGCCCTTCTACTTATCGCTGCAAGCAGTTAGAGTAACTAGTTTATCAAGTTGACACAAAATAGCGGAGACAGGATGCCTCTGTGTGGAGTGCCACATATGGTTTAGTGAATGATTTTAGCACCTTACCCACCTTCCTTCCTTTTAACATAATTAATTATACGCAAAACACTTAATTTCTGCAATCGCTACATTATTCATATATTTTAAATGTAAGTGTAAATAGATTGAAAATCTTAAATAAACCTCAAATCCACAAGTTTTCTAACTTCACCTCCGTTTCAGTTTTATTTTTAAATTTTCACACACTTTAAATAAAATTTCTATTATACAAATATAAAATGATGCTATTTTTATTATAAGCGCTTTGAAAGTAAGCAATAAAAGCGTTTTTATGCGCCAAAAAAATTACCAGGCACACATACATATGTATGCATGTACATATGAGTGCACAACTTACATATATAATATGGTTATTTTATTTTTAATTTCATCCAATACAATTATAGGTGCGAAATAATGGAAACCAAATGAACTAAAACTTATATGACTTTCCCAAAAATTAACAAAAGAATAAGAATAAATAAAGTCAATACGGGAATGTGATCACTACTTATAGAGGGTGTTCTAATAATTTTGATATTCAGAAGAAAGGGAATCTTATAAGATAAATTACCACATCTTTATTTTAATGTAAAGAGAAAGATATGTCATTAATAATGAAACACAATATCAGAAAAATGGCTGCGAGTACGGGACCGTATCCTTTTTATGAAATTTTCCATCAGCAAAACGCAAAGTGGCTGCTGTATACCCTCGATAGCTTCATGAATCCATCTTTGAGGTCCTGAATTTAAATTGGCGTATTTGGCGTGGACCTTATCTTTCACGCGACCTCAGAGGCAGAAGTCGAATGGTGTTAAGTTTCAAGATCTCGGACTACAATTGCGATCATCTTAAAAAGAAAGAAGATTTCGTTGCTTGTGTAGCAAGTTGTTGAAAGTAAGCATTGTCTAGATCAATACCATCCAATTCCATCCTTCAAAAACCATTAATCATCTGCCGACAGCGCAATTTATACATTTTCGCATAAGTAAGATCCAATCACATCGCCGGACTGTAGACCGCACCAAACACAGTTACTCGTTGGAAGATTTTTTTTATTATAGTGGGAATTATCCGATTTATATCAAATGTCCACCATGATTGCTTGATTACTTTTTGTCATTTTGAAGATATTGTCATTAGACCTCTCTCATAGAAACTCTGCTCCCTGCTCGGAAAAATTTTGGTCAATCGATTTTACAGATTTCTTTTGAGGCCAATTCTTTGCCAACCAAATCACTCCTCGTTGACAGAAAAATATGTTACCCATTTGGTACGAGATCCGCACTGAAATGCATTTGCCGAAAAACTTCCCAACCAAGCCTTCGGAGGTTATGACGAGCTCCCCTACTATTAGCCAAGGCTGAGCGCTTATGGGCGTTTGAGTCGTTAAGATGGTCCAATCGCTAACAATACAGGTTCGAATTAAATCCTCCTTGAAAATCTAATCAATCTTCGCTTAGAGACCGTTCATTGCGGCTTATTTAGCTGCATGAAGAGGGTAAGCATTGAAGAGAGTCGCCGGGAGGTCAAGGATACCCTTTTGGTGGTTGTGAAGTTTGTAGAAAATTATATGTCATTTTAATTTAGACAAGAGTGGGTTTTGAAATAATACTTCAGGACAAGAGAACAAAAACAAATAATAATCATCGAAGATCACTTCACTGTTTTAAAAAATAATCCCCATTGAGATCTATACTTTTGCATGACTTTACACCAATTGTCGAAGCATTTTTACCACCCTGATTGCGGTAACTCCAAAGCATGCACTCTGAACACATCAACCGCCTATTCAAGTGTCGAAAAACATTGACCTCTCAGTACTATTTTATATGTACGTGAATAAAAATATGTCATTCCTTAAGATTACACGATGGATGTTTCATAAAATCGATGTTTTGAGTGCACAAAAATTTACTTGTTTCAGACGGTACAAGATCGCATTATCATCATGAAAAGCGATCCGTACGTTCGAGGGCTCATTTTCCTGATTTCATGAAAGACAACTTGGTAACAAATGGTTGTGTTCCAGTCAATATATGTATATAGCAATTAACAGGCAACCTTTAGCTCCGAAGTATGGGAAAGTGAAGGAAGACGAGACCGTTAGTGCAAAAATACTAACTAGTAGTATACTAGTTTACAACTAGTAGCTTTCCCTACTGGGATATATTGCACGCACTTATACGTATATTATATCTACGTCCGCGCAACTGCAGAATATGTAGCGATTTGTGTAAAATAAATAAAAGTTCAAAACTGTGATTTTCTAATTACTGCTGTTTGCAACAAACTTTTATTTCGAAACAGGTGTGTTAAAAATTGTGGTAATTACAAATTGCAAAATTGCCAACATGTGTCCAACTTTGACAATTGCAAACACACACAACTGTTTGTAGTTTCATGCTGAAAGCAAAACTAGTGAAGAGTGAATGCACAATCGCCTATGGACTACATGTAAAGGGTGATGTTTTAAGAGCTATAGGAAAGTTTTAAAAAAAAAATCATAATTACAACGCGCATCATTTTTGAAGAAGTACGCTCCAATGATGCCACCAGCCCATAAACCGCAAAAAACTGTGACTTTTTCTGGATGCATTGGTAGCTCCTGCAATGCTTCTGGCTGAGCTTCAATCCAAAATCGACAATTCTGCTTATTTACGCACCCAAATATTTAAGCCAAAAATGTGCTTCGTCGCTGAACACGATTATTCGATAAAAAAGCGTGCGATGAACTTAACAGAGC